AGCCGTGCGTCAGCAAGGAACTGTCAGGATTCAATCTGGATTCCGAGGAGGACATGGCCCAAGGGACATCGTTGCTGCTCTCAGATGGATCTTCGCTGAGAGCAAAGACTACTAGAAAGATGTTTACTTGTGTTTTATTGACCATACAAAGGCATTCAATTGCGTGGACCATAACAGATCACAGATAACACGGAAGAGCATCAGAATTTTGGAACACTTCATTATGCTCTTGCAGAACCTGTATGCGGACGATGAAGCAGTCCTGGAAATAGAGCAAGGGAATATTGCATGGTTTCCTTCAGGAAGTTGTGCCTTAGGGTGGTATCCCATGACCATACTTCTTCAATATGTATGCTGAGCAACTTATTGGTCACTGATTTGCCTGAGGAAGAACCTGGCTAAGGATTGAAGCAAGGCTTACTAACATTCTGTGATCTGCAGAGGACACAACCTTGCTTGCCGAGTGAGGGGGACTAGAAGAACTTGCTGGTGAAGTTCAAGGACGGCAACCTTCGGTATGGATTACAGCTCGAGGTAGCGAAACCCAAATTCTCACAACTGGACTAATGGACAGCATCACGATGAATGGAGAAAAGACAGAAGTTGTCAAGGATTCCATTTTCCTCAGATCACAGCTAAGGCTGACGGAAGCAGCTGTCAAAATATCAAATGACATATTTTACTGGGCAAATCTATTGCTCAAGACGTGGCTAGAATGTTGATGGTCAAGGACATCACTTTGAAGATTAAGGTTCATCTGACCCAAGCCAAGGTATTTTCAATCACCTCACATGCATGTGGAAGTTGGACATTGAATAAAGGAGGTGGCAGAAGAGCTGCTGCACTTGAATCATGGTGTTAGTGAAGACTATTGAAAATGCCGTGGACTGTCAACAGAACAAACAGTCTGCCCTGGAAGAAGTACAACCAGAATGCTCCTTAGAAGTGAGACTGGTGGGAGTTTTGTCTCATGTGCTTTGGACATGTTATCAGGAGAGTCCGTCCCTGGAAAAGGACATCATGCTCAGTAAAGTAGTGGGTCAGAAAAGAAGTGGAAGGTCATCAGGGAAATGGATTCATCCCGTGGCTGCAGCCATGGGCTCACGCATGCTAAGAATGACAAGGATCTAGACCAGAGGAGGTACACTGGTACAGATAGGAACTGGAAATCCAGGGCGGATGAGCCCTACAGGACCAGTGGTGTGAGTGGCGAAACAGGGAGGGTAGAGGGAGAGTGGGTAGGAAAGAGGGAACCGATTACAAGGAGCTATATGTGACCTCTTCCCTGGGGGACGGACAACAGAAAAGTGGGTGAAGGGAGACGTCGGACAGGGCAAGATATGACAAAATACCAATTTATAAACTATCAAGGGCTCATGAGGGAGGGGGGAGCGGGGAGGGAGGGGAAAATGAGGACCTAATGCCGGGAGGTTTAAGTGGAGAGAAAATGTTTTGAGAATGATGTACAAATGCGCTTTGCACAATTGATGTGTGTATGGATTGCGATAAGAGTTGTATGAGCCCCTAATAAAATGATTAAAAAAAGAAAAAGAATGACAAGGATGGCACAGGGCTTCGCAGGGTTTCGCTCCGCTGTCTAGGAAGCCACCAAGAGTCGGAGCTGGGTCCGTGGGACCTAGCAGCAATGACAGCTCCCGCACGTGTTGGTTGTGCTTACAGGTGACATGGATTCTCCGACAACCTCAACCTTTTCTCCATTTATCATGATGCTGTTCATTGGTCTAGTGGTGAGAGTTTTTGTTTTCTTCATATCAAGATATCATCCATACTGAACACTGTCGTCTTTGATCTTCATCGATAAATGCGTCAAGCCCTCTTCACTTTCCACAAACACGATGTTGTCATCTGAACATCACTGCTTGTTAGGGAACCTCCTCTGATCCCAATTCCATGTCCTTCTTCATATGGCTTAGTTTTGAGGGACTCAAATCATGCTCCTTTTAAAGGTCTCTGAGGGATGGTTATTTGTAAAACTTTGAGGGGGCAAGAGCAGGGCTGTAGGGTAGGTAAGATACGGTTTCCATAATGTCCCGCATCACAATCTGCTTCGGAACGGAACTGGCCAGCAGATCCCCTTGGAAGGCACTGGTTTGAGTGGACTTGTTTTTTAAAGTGCTCAAGAGAGGCTAAAAGACGCTCTGGTGGCACTGTCAGATCAGCAGTGGATTGCTAACTACAAGGTCAGGTTCAAACCTACCAGCTGCTCCAAGGGAGAACGTTGAGGCTATCTGCTCCCATAAAGACTCACCAAAAAATCATATCATTGTGAATGAGGGTGGGTGGGGGGTCCGGAGAGGAAACCCAAAGCCCATCTGTAGGCAACTGGACACCCCTTACAGAAGGGTCATGGGGAGGAGACGAGCCAGTCAGGGTACAGTGTAGCAACGCTGAAAACACAACTTTCTTCTAGTTCTTAAATGCTTCCTTCCCCTCCCCTCCACTATCATGATCCCAATTCTACCTTACAAATCCGGCTAGACCTCCAGCTAGACCAGAGAATGTACACTGGTACAGATAGGATCTGGAAACACGGGGAATCCAGGACAGATGAACCCTTCAGGATCAGTGGTGAGAGTGGCGATACAGGGAGGGTGGAGAGAAGACGGAATAGAAAGGGGGAACCGATGACAGGGCTCTACATATAACCCCTCCCTGGGGGATGGACAACAGAAACGTGGTGAGGGGAGACATCGATCAGTGTAAGACATGGAAAAATAGTGATTTATAAATTATCAGGGGGAAAGGAAGGAGGCGGGGGAGGGGAAAATGAGCAGCTGATACCAGGGGCTCAAGTCAAAAGCAGATGTCTGAGAATGATGAGGGAAACAAATGTACAAGTGTGCTTGACACAATGGATGTATTTCTGGATTGTGATAAGAGTTGTACGAGCCCCCAATAAAATGCTTTCTGAAAAAAAGAATAAAGGCTAGAGGGACACCTAAAAAAAAATCACCAATGCTGAAATGGCAGGAAGTGAAAATAATTAAAGAAAAAAAAAAAAAAGATTGACAGGACCAGAAACTCTCTCGGGTCTCAGGGGGTCTGCATTGACTAGATGGCTGTACTGAGATTTGTCAAGTATACCACTGCAAGCATCTGCCCGACCCGTCCACTGGCTCCAGAGACACGCTTAGACATGCTTTGTTTGGATAAACACGTGCGTCTATGAACTGGAACATTAGCAGCAATATCTTTTCATTTAAATTGGTACCAGCAGCTGCACGAGCCCCCAATAAAATGATTTAAAATAAATAAATAAATTTGGGTGATCTTATTTTCATTCCTTTCTTTGTGATTATAATGAGAATTAGTGTTCTGTATCATCTTTCTGTTTGTCTGTCTGAGATGAATTTGGTTGTCGTGGAAGACTTTCGTGTCATTCTAAGCAGCTCCGGTGGCACCATGGTGAAAAGCCTGCTGCTTCCTGACAGGTTGGTGGTTCAAACCCACCCACAGCTCCGTGGGAGGAATGACCTGGTGACCTGCTCCTGTCAAAATGACAGTCTCGGGAATCCTGTGGGGCAGTTCGCCACTGTCCTCTAGGTCATGATGAACCCAAATTCACCCTATGGCACCCAACAACCATCCACACAGAGCACTTCTTCCTTTTATACATAGCTGTCCTAGCTTTTAAAGGGTTCGTCTCGGAAACACACCGAGGCAGTTCTACCCTGCCTTGTAGGGCCACTCCCCAAAGCTCAAACTCACTGCCATCGAGTTAACGCTGACCCAAAGCAACCCCGGTGGGTTTCCAAGACTGGGAGTAGAAAGCCCAGTCTGCCTCCCTCGAAGCGGCTGGTGGCTTTGAACTGCCGACCATGCAGATCGCGGGCAGTTAACAAGGACACGACCAGGCCTCCTCGCAGGGTTGCCGCTGGGAGTCAGCATTGACTCGTTGGCAGTGAGGTTGGTTTTGTTTGGAGAACCCTAGTGGTACGGTGGTGAAAGCGCTCGCCTGCGCAACGGGAAGACCAGCGATTCGAACTCCCCAGCCCCTTTGCGGCAGCGAGATGGACAGAGGTCAAGGTTGTTAGTTCCAATGTACCAGGAGCTTCGTTGGGGGAGAAAAGGCCTGGGGATCGCTTGCACAAAGACTGCAGCGTTGGAGATGCCACGGGGCGGATCGACCTTGGCCTTCAGGGTTGCTGTGAGGTGGAATGGACTCAGCTGATGGCCACGGGCTTGGCTTGGGGTTGGGGCGCCTTGTCTTCGTTGGTGTGCTGTTTCTCCCCTTGACCTTTCTCCAGGAGTTTCCAGGCGGGCGTCTTCACCTAATTTTAGCGCTCTTTCCGTCATCAACTTCCTAGCAACTAATTGCATTTCCAGCTGAACTCCTCTAATGAAGGGCTCACGGAGGCTTCCTCTCCCCCCTTCTCCATCTCATCCACAGCACGGCAGCAGGCTCCTGCCCTTCCTGGCTGCCCCAAGGGGGTGGCAGCTCACACCTGTTCATCCTGGTGATTAAATACAGCCCCAGAAGCACCTCGAGCTGAATCTCTTGTCACTGGCAATTGTCATCTTCTCAGGGACCAGGTGTGCCTGGTCGGCACCCCAGCTATAAAATCGTACAGCTTCACTGTAAACACCTGTTGACCGAGCAGATTGGCTGAACAGGTACGGGGTTGGATGTGCCCTTCCTCTTGGCGCTTTATGTTTTTTAAATCCCCTGTCTTAATATGACCCCGTGGTTGTCTGTTTGCCAACCTACGAGCCTGCTAACCCTGTTATACATCGTGGGGACGTGGGGATTGGGAAGAGGAAAATTTTGGTCACCTTTCAAGGTCTCACTTGCCCTTTGCCCTGGTGTGAGCAGAGCATTTTCTTTAGCCCAAGGGTAATGACTTAGTGGGGTACCTTAGGGGATGGTCTTATGCTGTGTTCGTGAAAAATGGTGCAGTTTCCCCATCTGCCTGTTTTACACAGTGTCTCCTGCCTGAGTTTGGTGGCCTGCCTCCAGTGTGGTCAGTCCTGCGGCCAGCATGCCCACCCAGCTGGAGATGGCCATGGACAGCATGATTCGCATCTTCCACCGGTACTCTTGCAAGGAAGGAGACAGATTCAAGCTCAGCAAGAGGGAGCTGAAACTGCTCCTGCAGCTCGAACTCACGGAATTCCTCTCGGTGAGTCTCGGCTTCTCTGCACCGGTCCTGCCAAGGTGCGTGAGGCACAGGCTTCCGGGACCGAACTTCTCTCCCCAGTCTCCTAGGATTCTGTCTCAGAAGCAGAATGAGTCCTATTGAGGACCAAGGGAGATGGGAAGCCAAGACTGGAGACCTTTGTTTCCAGTGTACATGGGCTTGTGTTCTCTTCTGTCATGTTAGGGTTTCCAAGAGTTAAAAACTTACAGGTGAGGCTCCTATCAATTATTCAGCACCACTGTGCAGCAGTGAGAGAGCGCTTTAGACCGGCTTCCAGATGTCTATAAATGAATCTTCTGGGCTGGGTCAGAGATGAGGCCTTGGGGGCTTTCTGTTGTAATGACAAATTCTTTCGTGAATGCCAGATGCTGAGAGAGCTTAGTCAGTCACACACAAGCTGATTGGGATCGATGGCAAGGATGGGCTGGTATGTTAGTCAGTGGGGAAAAGACCAGATTCACGTCTTAAAATAGCAAGTGGTTCAATAAATCCATGTGTGAAGCCTTAGGTTAGTGTTCGATAGCTTGCCGAGGAAAACACTTAACTCTGATGTTTCTGCAGTGGCATTGAATTGATTTTTGTACCATATACCACCCTTCCTGGTGGTAGAGAAACGGGGCTTTCTATCCCCATAAAGAATTACAGTCTGGGAAAGCTACAGGGGCAGTTCTACCCTGTCCTATGAGGTTGCTATGAGTCCACATCGACTCTATGGCAGTAAGTTTGGTTTGATTGGGCCACCTTCGCAGGATTTTATACTATGTTAGCCTTGCATTTAAGACTACAGCAATTTAATTTGAGTAACCTTTTTCTCCCCACTCTCCATGGTAAGAGCTTAAAGCGAAGCTATTAACTGTAATAATTCTTCATGATATATTTTAAGTCATTTTACAAGTCCACAGGAATTTTTCTCTTCTCAAATATATTTTGGTTTCTATATCATATAGTCCAGAGTCAGATACTTATAAGTATGTATGTGGCTTGCCATTGATTTATTCAAGTGACATTGATCATTGTTTCCATCAAGTTGATTTGATCAATTAGCTCTCACTTCCTAACCACTTAGTGTAGTGGTTCTCAACCTGTGGGTCGCGACCCCTGTGGGGTTTGAATGACCCTTTCACAGGGGTCACTCAAATCATAACAATAACAAAGTGACAGTGATGAAGTAGCAACGAAAATAATGTTATGGTTGGGGTGGTCACCACAACATGAGGAACTGTATTAAAGGGTCACGGCATTAGGAGGTTGAGAACCACTGAGTTAGTGGTTGACAGCTCAGGAGAGGGGAATTCTGGGGAAACAATCTCCATTTGGAAACATTCTTCATCAACCACTCATTTTAGGAGGGCTTGGTGCTTGTAGCCCAACGCATCGAATCCCTTAAAATGCAGTCATCCTTCTAAGAGCTGTGCATGGGATGATCCTTTTTTTTTTTTTTTAAATGTCGGGCACTGTGCTAAGTGGGGCTGGCAGTAAAACACACTGTGCCTCATATGCAACAATTGGGGCAGGTTGTTGATAGGTGTGGTTGAGTTGGTGCCGACTCATATGTGTACCACCTGGGCTTGCACCGTCCTCACAATTGCGATGTTTGAGCTGATTGTGGCAGCCACGGGGCCAGCCCATCTCATCAAGGGTCTTCCTCTCTCCCTGCCCTTCAACTTGACCAAGCATGATGGCCTTCCCTAGGGACTGGTCTCTCCTGACAACATGCCCAAGTTGGGGTAATACTTGCACAAAAACACGACTTGTTGATCTGAAATTAAAATGAACTGGCATCCACTCATTTAAGTTGTTAACTCTAGCAACACTCAAGTTAAGTGTTTTCAAAAGTTGTGTCGCCAACATCCCTCAAATTTACAGGTAGAGCTATTCTCCTTTCTACAAATAAGGAAATGAAAAGAGAGTTGCTCTAAGTTCCCTTGTTGGTAAGTGGTGTAGCTACTCACTCTTTTTGGCCTCTTTTTGGCTTTAAAGCCTCTCTCTTTGTCCCCTCCTTCAGTGCTGCCTAATGTCCTGGGCTCCACATCTCTGATGAGCTGCAAATGCATGTCAAATGCCCGGTGCAAATGCGGCATCAGTAGCTCATTTTGATCAGCAATTGTTTATCCTTCTTGGTTTAGGTTTGAGCCAGGATGGCCTGAGCCTGGGGGCAGAAGCTAGATAACTTGAGAATGTGTGACTGGTACAAGCCTCCCAGCAAATGGGCTCATGGGCAGTGTCTTTAGATGTTAAAAGTGGGGATTCAAAGTGTAATGGAAATAAAAGGAAGATGTTATTTCAACGGTCACCATGAGCCTCAGAAGTTGGACATTTTTCTTTTTCTTTTCAGTGCCAAAAGGATCCCCAGTTGGTTGATAAGATAATGCATGACCTGGATGCCAATAAGGACAATGAAGTGGATTTTAATGAATTTGTGGTCATGGTGGCAGCTCTGACCGTTGCTTGCAATGATTATTTTGTAGAGCAATTGAAAAAAAAGTGAAAGCAAAGACAGATGGTCAGCTAATGTAAATGAGCTATATTAGTAACATGTTAGTCAATGTAAAATGAGGTCGAGCCAAGATTATGTAATTGGCATTCATCTGTATGTACTCTCCAGATTTATAGGTAGAGTAATACCAGGTAATGATAGACGATACATATATTCAATTGCTAGTGTCACTAAATGATGTATACCTTAATGTACTGACTTCCAACAACTATTTCAAATAAATCGTATATATGCCCTACTTGAAGTTTCCTTGTATTATTACGATTGTTATATACATACGTTTTGCATGTCAAAAAAAATCACAAAAATTTAGCTACTTTCAAATATGGCTAAAACCTGGCAAATTGATAAGACAATCAATCATTTGTGGTCCTGACATCGTTTTTTGAATTATTTATCCCAATTTAAGGGTGAAAGATGAGGTTTTCTTCTCTCACAAAGAGTTGCTATCTCAGAAACCAACAGGGCAGTTCTACCCTGTCCTACAGGATCATGATGAGTCAGAATCAACTTGATGGCAGAGAGGGATTTTGTTTTGGGCACCTACTAAAGGCGTTCTTGGAACGTGTGAAACATTAGCACTCCTGGCTGCTAACAGCATGGTTGGAGGCTCGAGCCCACCCAGAGGCACTTCAGAAGATCCTGAAGATCTACTTCCAAACAATCAGATGTTGACAGCTCACAGGTCTACTCTGACACACATGAGTTCGCCGTGAGCTGGAGTCGACTGGTTAGGATTGGTTTGGTTTCTCTGTTAATTCTATGAAAGAACTAGTGTTAAGCAGCACCCCTGGGGAAGCCAGAGAGTTAACACACTCTCTTTAGGCTACCTTCTCCTCTTTGCCACTCCATACTGCCGCTACCCTGTGCTTCTTGTGCCTCTCAAGTGTTGGATTGCATTGCATCCCCTTAGGGTCTGCATCTGTAGAATCCCAAACAGTGATTGAGATCCTTCAGAGAACTTCAAGGAGGTGTGCAGTAAAATAAGATTCGTGCATGTTTAAACAATTACCCATGCTACTGAGTGGAGAAAGGGTAACAATGTAAGAGGGAGACCAGTTAGGAGGCAGTGGTGATGGGAATGAAAGATGAAGGTGCTTGGGCCAGGACTTCATGTGCAGAGAACAAGAGAAGCAGTTGAGTTTGTTAAGTATTCTGGAGGTGGGGCAGATAGGACTTCCTGATGGGTTGGTATGATGGGTGAGGAAGAGAGGAGTCCAGGATGACAGAGCAGACATAACTGTTATTTGCCTATCTAGCATTCATCACCCCTCCCCTTTCTTCCACAGATCTAAGTCCCAATTTGTGGTTAGCAATAAACATAAGCCAAAGTAAACTCACTGTCATCAAGTCAATTCCAACCCATAACAACCCAGTGTAGGATTTCTGAGACTGCAATTTTTAAAAAACTCTTTCTTTTCTATTCTCTTTTCATTTTATTGGGAGCTCTGGCAAATATTGTAACAATTCATACTTCAATTAGATCAAACATAATTGTACAATTGCTGCCACCATCAATTTCATAATATTTTCTTTTTTCTTGAACTCCTTGGTATCAGCTTCTCTTTATCCCCTCCCAAATTATAGTACTATATATTATTAATTCTTGCTGTACCTTACAACCTTCATTGTATCCTTTCACATGCACTTCCATTGTTCCCTTGTGTGGGGTTATACAGTCCTCATTGCTATCAGTTTCCCCTTCCCCTTCTCTCCTGCACCCCCTTCCTGCACCCTCAGGGAATCCTTGCTCCTGTTACTGTTTCTGAAGGGTTATCCATCTTGGCTTTCATGCATCAAATGATCCTAATTATACAAATGGAGGTCTGACCAGAATAATGAGATAACATAAAGTCCATAATGGTAAGAGGGCGAAGGACAATTACAGATCTAGAGGATAGTTATAAAATTCATCAGTGCTATCCCACACCCTAGAAATATCATCCTTTTCGCGTGGCCGTTCTGTGAGGGACTGTCCAATTATCTCACAGGTGGATTTTGGGTCTTCACTTTGTCCATGCTCCTTCACATCAATTTTATTGCTTGTTTTGGAATTGCTGATACCTATTCCTTTCGACACCACATGATCACAGACAGGTGTGCTTCTCCCATGCTAGCTTTGTTGCTTCCCTGTTAGATGACCACTTGTTTAATTTCAAGCCTTTAAGACCCCAGAGCTATATCTTTCGATAGCCGGGCACCATGAGCTTCCTTCACCACATCTGCTTATGCACCCGTTTTGTCTTCAGTGATCCTGTCGGGAACGTGAGTATCATACAGTGCAACATTATTAGAACAAACTGCTCTTGTACTGAGGTGGGATTTAAACTGAGGTGCAAAGTCCATCTGTTTCACACACACACACACATATGGACAAGTACACCTATATTTCTATATTTACATACATAGATATCTATCTTTACACACACACACACATACAATTTTTTCTTTGTTCTTCTTTCCTTTTTTTCTTCCCACCTGCCCCCTATCATGTTTACCCATCTTTCACCTCTCAGTAATTCCTCTCAGATATGTTTCAATTGATCCAACAGGACCAGGAATGCTACACTCTCCTCACTGTCAATTTTAGAACCCTTGCTATTCTCTGTCCCTGTTTTAAGTATCACCAAATCACTTTCCACAGTGGCCATACTTTTCTACAAGACCACCATCAGTAAGTGAGAGTTCCAATCTCACCACACCCCCTCCAACATTTGTTGCTTTCTGATTTTTTGAATTGAGCTGTTTTTGAGAGTTAGGTGATATCTCATAGTTGTTTTAATTTGCATTTCCCAGATTGCTAATGATTAGGAACATTTTCTCATTTGTTTAGTGACCAATTTGGTTTCCTTCCTTGTAAATCTTATGTTCAAGTCTTTTGCCCATCTCCTCAGTGGGCAATTCATTTTTCTCTTATTATAAGCTTGCGGGATAATGTAGATTTTAGTAATAAGCTGATATGTAATTGCTAAATATGTTTTCCAAGTCTGTGGGCTTTGTTATTACTCTCTTGATGAAATCTCTTGATGGACACAAGTGTTTTACCTTTAGTATGTCCCACTCATTTATTTTAACTTCCTCTGAATGTGTGTCCTTCCTTATTTCCGGTAGGCCATGTATTCCCTGCGTTAAGGTTCTTAGCTTTGTCCCAATTCATTCTTTGATGATCCTGATAGTTTGGGGTTTTACCTTAGGTCTGTGATCCACCTTGAATTTGTTCTTGTGTATGGAGTGAGGTAAGGGCCTTGCTTCATTTTTCGGCAGGTAGATATCCAGTTTTTCCAGAACCATTTGTTAAAGAAGGCATCTGCTTCCAACTTGATATTTTTGGGGCCCTTATCGAAGATCAGTTGTCTGTATGCTGTGCTTGGCTAACTTCACTTCTGGATTTTATTTCTGGATTTTCTGTTCCTATCCATTGGTTCGTGTATCTGTTATTATACCAGTACCATGCTGTCTTGACAACTATGGCTGTATAATAAGCTTCAAAGTCTGGTAATGCAAGCCCTCCTACTTCATTCTTCTTTTTGAGTTCTTTGCTTATTCTGGGCTTCTTCCCTTTCCATATGAAGTTGGTAGTCAGTTTTTCCATCTCTTTGAAAAAGGATGCGGTATTTGTATCGGGATTGCATTGAACTTATAGAGTGCCTTGGGTAGGAGTGACATCTTTATAATATTGAGTCTTCCAATCCATGAGCATAGGATCTCCTTCCATTTGTGAAAGTCCCTTTTGGTTTCTTGTAACCAAATCATGTTCTGTAGTTTTCCTCATAGAGATTTTTTATTTGTTTATTTTTTGTTAGTTATATCCCTAGACATCTTAATTTATGCTTGCCTATTGTGAAGGGTACTACCTTCTTGATCTCTTTTTCTGTATTCCCATCATATAGCAATCCAACTTACTTCTGCTTGTCGATCCTGTATCCTATCTACCCTACCCTATTCCTCTTTCACTTCCAACACCCCTATTGTGGAGCTCTTCTAGTTCTCAATATATAGAATGATATCATCTGCAAATAATGATAGTTTCACTTCTTCTTTCCCCAGACGAACACCTTTGATTGTCCTTCCGTTGCTTTATGTTATTAGCTAGGAGCTCCAGAATGATCTCGAATGAAAGTGGGGACAAGGGGCATCCTTGTCTTGTCCCCTTAACTTTTATTTTAAGCTTCATTTACTCCCAAGCCATAAGTTTTTGCTTCTTCAGTTTCTTTTGAGATATCTTTTTCTTCTGTGCAACCTCCTCTTCTGGTTTAGGAACAATTTGTTCCTTTTTAGTCAGGACCATCTCAGTGTGGTGGGGGAGCTCATGGATGGCTTGATCCGACCACAAGCTCTGTAAGTCCAGTGGCACATCTTGGGGGCTTTCTTCACCTGGATATGCTCAATGACCAGAGAATCTACATCTAGTCCCTTAACTTCAGCGTTACTCACTTTCTACATTTTTAAGCATGGGCAGCAGAAACTCAGCATTCATTTTGGGCCACTGACCCTGCGTCCAACCCCACTGTTTGGCCTTGGCACACCTACCAGCTCTGCCATTGTAACGTTGGAAAGGCACACACTGCTTCCACAAAGTGATGTCTTTCAAATACATGGTGGCTTTCTGGATATGCATACCCTGATGGCCTGGGCAGGGTCACGGGTGTTCTTGAAATAAACTAGAAGATTCAAACCTCTTGATTTGCATGATTTTGTTGGGGTTTTCTGGGTCAAGTGAGTAGCAAACTGTGTTAATCTGGGTAGACTAGAGAAACAAATCCATGGATACACATATGTATATAAGGGAGAGGTTTATAAACAAGAGGAATTGAATATTGAGAAAACATTCCAACCCAGTCCAGTCCAAGGCCATAAGTCTGATATTAGCCTATATGTCCGATACCAATCTATAAAGTCCTCTTCAGACTCACAAAACACATGCAATGAAGCCAAATGCAGGATGATCACAAGCCAGTGGGTGGAAATTCTTTGGGTCCAGTGGCGTTGTAAGCATCTCAGTGCTGGCAGGGGTCTCTCTGTGGCTTCTCTAGCTTCAGATATCTGGCTGCATCCATGTGGCTTGTCTTCTGCAGTTTCTCCCAGGGAGTGGCAGAGAGAGAGAGAGGTGTCTTCTGTCTACAAGGAGGAAGTACCAGATTTCCCAGAATTCTCAGGAGAAGGTCATGCCCACACAGAAGTCTCATTGGCTAT